GTCAAAGGTTATTTTGCTTAGCCACAAGCCGTTGCAAGCTTAATGACCAAGGATCGAGTCCTTTTTGTTTAGTCGCAAGTCGTGGCAAACCCAAATGGCCACATATCAAAAGCTTTCTTGATGGAGCCACTAGTCATAATAAGATAAAATGAATGATTACGTGCCAAAGCACTCCTAGAGGAAGGATAGTGTGAGGGACCAATTCGAACATCACTACTCGGTGAATGGTTGAACGTCCAACTTAAGGATGAATAGTTGATCGAAATAACTTCACCTCTTTTTATCACCTTTATTTCTGATAGATGATATCATGACTGACCTTATCTTAAATGCTTTGACACAAGATTTAATGCACATCCATTGACCTCCATGGAGCTATAGTGCATTATAGTGCTACAAGGTTGACATAAAAGGAATTTGCCACATGGAAAGCAACCTAGGAGGACTATGAATACTCCCCCAACCACCATATCTCAAGTAGATTTATTACACCTTTAGCTTTTGTAGCATACCAGCCCACCTTTACTCAAACCCCTTAGGTACTGATTTGAGCATTAGAGTGTCTATCTCAAGACCCAACCTCAAGTTTTGCAAGTATTCTTATCAAAATTTGTCTTCATTGTAGCCATGTTATGCCGTTTTTCACCCAAGCTATTTCATGTAACAACAACAACTGCCCTCCAACATAATTCAATATCTATTACATGTTGGTAGTTGATGAGTTGAATTTATATACATATTAATGTGGAATTTTTGCTTTGTTATTATTGATATTTGGATGAGTTTTATAAGATTTTACTTGATTTTATATAATTTTCATTATTTGTGTAGGAAATGAGTTATTTAGAAGAAATCATAACTTTTAACACCAAATTGCAAATATCAGAAGCTGAGGATTAAGTTGCATAGAATTTAGAAGTTAGGGATTAGGATTGTCATTTTACCATTAACTAAAATTTCTTTAAAGGCCAAAATCCTGTAGTGGACTCTTCTTGGCAGATACGGTGAAGACGTCACCACTTTCTTTAGGGTGTCAATAGGTTTTTAACATTTTATATGGATCTCACTTTTATTTTAATTTGGTTTTCTAAAATCTTATAAATATTCATCTAAATTTAAAATTAAGGGGAGCTTTGGAGGTTGGTGGCAGCCCTCTTTTGGTAATCTTAGAGATTGAGATAAAAGATTTATCAATAATAAAAGATCAAGAATTTCAATTTCCTTAAATTAAGTTTTATTTTCCTTAAATTATTTTTATGTATTGTTTGATATTTTTATATTCATAACTATGATTTTGAGTTTTATTATTTTTATTATGAACTAATTTAGCCAATTAGAGCTATGATTTAGCCTAATTAATTCAACATATGTTTTTATGATTTTTATATCTTTGAAATTGTTATTTCATGATAAGTATCTTTTATTGTTCTCAATGCTTTTTAATGCTTAATCAGCATTAAAATTGATATAAAGAGCACAATTAAGATCGAGAGGAGATTTTATGCAATAACTTCCAAGAATATATATTATGAATTGAACAAAAGTTAGAGATAGACCAATGTAATTTATGCAATATTCGTGATAAGTAGACTTAATTTTCTACATAAATTAAGAAATTTCATAGAATATAATGTATTTTTATCTATTTAAATTAACATATAAATATAGTTGGTTAATAGGTGAAGATAGGTTTGGAATAAATTGAGAAAGTATATCAAATAAGATAGAAAAT